AGTAAATTCATATTCCAACATATTTTATTATTTGAGATGTTGATAGTTCGATTTTATAATAAAAACTTTTCGCTATTTATTCACGTATTAATTCCTTTTTATCTCTTAATTTTTTGGAAGTCGTCAACACCCTTCATTCTGAATTTAAAAATGTCATCATTCATTCAATAAAGTTGCAATCCATTTGATAAAAATAAATACAGAAGGATTACGGACCGTTGTACGGAAAAATTTATCTTACTTTTGTATTACTCTTTATTTACTCTGGCTAACATGCGGGTATATTTAGCGTATTAATTTAATTTGAAAACAATCAAACGCGACCAACGATACTAATCACATCGTATTTATTGAGCGAAGCGCATCCCTTGCCCAAAATAAAACGCTCCATTTCATTTAATGAGATACACAATTGCAAAATGAACAAACTTATCTGATTGATTGCAATCATGTTTGAAAGGTAATAAATTATTTTCTCTTGGGTACATCAAGATCCCCACAAAATTTCCAAAGTACAGCACTCTTGCGCTTGCAGATTTACTTTTTCTCTTCGATTTTTCTTGCATGTCATCTTACATTATTTACAATGATGTGAAACAAGATGACGGAATTTTTTTTAGAGTACTATATGATGCAATATATTCGAACAAAAACTTTGAAACTTTGATTCATAACGAGACGGGACTCATTTCGATTTAGTAAGGGAATGCAAACTCTCCATTTTTCATGTCAATTTTACAATGTGAAAAAAAGGGAAGCTGATTGCGTTCACTTGATAAGTAGCAACAAAAAAAAACATGTCAAGGGACACAACATTGTCATTTTGAGTGGTAAACTCTATCTCCGGTTTGCATCTACCCAATTTTGGTACAGCAGAAGGTAAGTAACCGCGCGTCCATCGAGACCGGGTTTTGAATAGAAGTTCTCATGCTCGCTCATTTTATCGCCAACGAACCAAGTGATACTCTACATACCGCAATTATGCGATGACTGGATTATATTGTGTGTTGAAACACTCATTTGTCTTTTGTACTTTTTATCAACATCAACACTTCACCATAAAAAAGACACCAACGTGTCCTGCTTCAACATGCAGGCACTTTTTTCTATTCACAAAACAGTTTCTATGTTGCCCGTTGTGTATGAGACTAGATTCGTTTGGACTTCGTTATGATTTTATTTTGACGATTATGGCACTTTATTCAAAAGAACAAGAATTTTCTGCCATACGAAACCAAAATGAAACAATTTATTTCTGTATTACGAAAAATTCCATCGATTTTCCGTTCGAACTGTTCATGCAAGTGCTCGAAGCGATTTGGATCGCAGCTCAGGAAATGTGTTTTCTACAATAACATATTTTTTGGTTTGAAAATTGTTTGTGCAAGCACACGGCGGATTAAGGTTCGATTCATCGTTTTAGTTGATGATGATTTTTTTGTGGTTCAGCTGCATTTCAACATAAATTGATAAGAAAACGATTCCGACGTGGTTTTAAAATCGAAATGGATTGACTATGAAAAGTGAGGTTGTTCGGTTCTCATGTGAAGATAAATATCATGAGAGTGTTTGGTTCTCGGTCGATGGTTGCACCACCATTTTGCACATAATTCTTTTGAATTTGTTGTTGATGATCCGCTCCGAAAAGATAAGGGATCAAATTCGAAGCAATCACTTTTTTCATTTCAAATCCCCCCCCCCCCATCCCATCATCGCTTAACTCGACACTTGTATATACCTCTGTGTAGTACACACATCAAACGGAAATCTTATCTTAGATTTTTTTTTCCTTTTGCGTTATTATTGCCGACCTCGTGTTGAACAAACTCGTTTCACCCTCGAACTCATAGAGAGGAAAACGAAGAAAAAATGCACCGCATGTCGAAACGATTGAAAAGAACAAAGCAACCAATTTGTGTAATTTCATGTAAGATGCCCTCAAGTAATTGATGTTGATAAATATTTTGATTAAAATGCGTATTTTTTGTTGGTTTTATCATCTTGAAATGGTTGCGTTGAGATTTAAGCATTTTCAATTTCCTTTTCATTTGGTTTTGTACAATGCCAACATGTTTATTTTCTCATTTTCTTTGGTGGAAAAATTGATTTCTCTCCTTTTCTACCATCGAAGAAATAAAAAAAACACCCGCATGTATTTCAAAATAAAAATCCATATAACATCGGAATAAAATCTACGGCAACGCTTTTCGGTGTAATACACATACAAAAATAAATGAAAATATGCACCAAAAATAATGCAAGAGTTATGCAAAATAGACGAAAGTCAGAATATACAATTTTTCACCTAACCAAATGGCCAAACGGAGACAACGAAGATATTATGTAAAACAAGCAATGGAAAGAGAATGGTTTTTTCTATAGAAATGTTAAGGTATAAAATGAGTGGAAAATAAATACTGGCGGAATTTTCATTTTCAGTTCAGATTATCCAAAACATAATGTATACGATATATCATAAATTGCCATATGGTTCCAATGCCATGGCCAAATCTCCATTATCTTTCCATATGAGCGTCATGCGTAAAAAAACATTCAAATCTCAGTCGCGCATTGATATCGCAAATGTAAACAATAGATGAATTCAATTGTCGCTCCGCCAAGAGATAAATAACACAAACTATGTACCTTCATATGAATTTTGTGTACTGAACTATCAAAAATAATATGAAATGAAGTAGTAACAGCTATTGTGCGAATTCAAATGGTCCTGTGCCAGCTAAACTCTTATGGGTGTACTTTTTTCCATGATACGATATTATCAATTTTTTCAAAGAATACTTAGAGCTCTGTATAGCGTTTGAATTAAATTGGCAAAATAGCATAATGTCAAAAATAATATGATTTTTCAGATTAAAGATGTCAACGAACTTCGTTTTGATTACACATATTTTTGGCTTGATAACGCTCTTCATATAGGCGTCATAAAACCTCTAAAAATAGCGCGGAAAAGTACGCTAAAATATTACGCATTGATATCGGAAATGTAAACAAATGGCGAGTTTTATTGTCACGAAACCAGTAGCTCTAAGAACTTACTTTCATCGGTAAACAACACCAAACAACATTATGACCTAATTAGATGAATTCAACTGTGTGAATTTACTACTTAAGTACAATAAAAGCAGCAATTTTTGTTTTCTTTTTGAACAACATTGAGATTATGATATAGAATTTCATATAGCATTAAATTTATAGCATTGAAAATCATACTCCTTCGCCTTCTAATGATATACGGAATAGCTTGCACTATATTTTAAAAGCATATAGAGCCATCGCAGGCGATGGATTGGTAATGTACGTGATAGAATTTCATCCGAACCATCTTTTATCCCGAATTCACTAGTTTTGCTAACAATGAAAAAGTATTCCATGTCAGTAACATCAAATTAATAATTACATAGATGGACCGTGTAATTTTTGTACGCCATCGACGTCGAATACACCACACCGGTCGCGGTACGATTTATGGTGTTTGGTCTCCTTGCACTTTTTCACCTTCGGCCAAATAATACCATCTAATTAGACGAAAAAAGGACACGTCTGTAGAAAAAACCGAAGCCAAAACTGGACGTGGAACATTGTGGTATTCTGTTACGTTCGAATCATGGGTAGAATCGTCAGACCATAAATATCGAATCAGATGATGCGCATAGACGTGGCAAGCGACTAGATTTCGAAGACACATTCATCATCCCTTGCCGGTTGCTGGGAAATTTGATTCTATATTGTATGACATAGCATGTTTGCATCGTTTGTATGCAGTTCTCGTGTGACGAAGACCGTACACCAACAATCGAATAATAATGCTGTTGCAACTAGAAATGCATATTGTGTTTGCGTGTTTCGTCTGTTTTGCTGACACTCGTTTGATCAATTTTGATGTTGGATGTGGCGTGCGTTGTAATTTGTAAATCGTGCACAGTTCGAATATGCAAACGCTAGTTAGTCGTTTATGATGCTGGACCAGCTTTGTTCGGCGATTAGCGACCATCACTATCGCTACCAAAATACAATTGGCGTCGCATATTAAATGTTCAAACGCCAACAACTAAATACGGAAATTCAACGTTCGGTCACGTGAACCAAATAAATGAGAAATCGAAGCTCCTGCCTTGCAAACGAACAACAAAATAGAAAGTCAATAGTAGCATTACCGAATTTATTCGTTTTGATTCATTCAATCGACGATGGTGCATAGTGCACAATCAAATTCCAACGGCAACACAAATGCAAACACACCAAACTCAAAATATCGATCGAAGAACGGACGTTTCTTTCATGGTCGGGAGCCCCAAGAGAACCAAAGTGCGTCATATATTTTTTTTCCTTCCATTTCCAATGTGAATGTGTACAGGGCACATGTATCACGATTACCGGTGTCAAGAGTCGAATACAAAGCTGTGAAAATGCATCGTTAGTGCCTTCGAACAAAATGTCAATAACAGCTCAATATATAGAAATTCACTCCCCTTTCGGAAAGTTATTGCTTTTGTGGATTTTGCTTCTTGAAGTTTGAACGCACGCTCATCTTCTCTCTAATACCTTTTATATGAATAAACAAACAAAACATTTTGGGCCGCAACATTTTCGAGGGCAATGAAATGAAAATGGAATGCGATTGACGTCTCTACAGAAAATGTGTAGTCACATCATATCAAAACGCACTGTAATGAGTACACAGAGGGCAAGCCGCATCAAATGAAAATACTGGACAGGGAACGATTGTTAATAATAAAAATAAATGGAATGTTTTCTTTGTTGGTTTTGTATTCGTCGAACGCAATCGAAGTACATGTGAGAGAAAAAAAATGTAACATTCGAACAAATTCTTTCAAACGATTATTTTGATTTGAGACGAATTTTATGATTACAATGTGCAACACAAGGGGCAAACCAAACGAAATTCTTTTAAATAAAAGGAATTTTAATTTACTTGTCATTTTCAATAAAAATAAAAGACGAAATTACATTTGGTTTTTTTGTTTTTTTTCTATTCGCATTTATTGTGCGTCGCATACGTTTCGGCATTTAATTTTTCATACGTTGTTTGCATCAGCTGGTGAGTGTTTTCGATAAGAGTTGTAATGTCATCTTTTCTCAATCCTTTACATGAAATCTCCGGTAAAATTTGAATGATGCTTTGCCCTGAAATAGTAAAAACCATAAATTCGGTGTTCTGAGATGTGAACGGGTGATGTGAAAAATGACAAAAAGTCAATGAACTACATCGAACACATGTCGAAAAGGTGCACAATAAGTTAATTGAAAAATTCAGCAATGTTGCATTTTATCCCTTAAAGTGACGGTTAATCAAAAAATCATTCAAAGAAAGTTTTGAAAAGTGTGAATCGATTAAATTTCACTATTTCATCCATAAAATGAAATATGCATTCATCATCGAATTTCAATGGTTTGTTTTTTAATATTTTACCATACCTCTGCCAAATACTTTTCGTGTGCTGTCGAGAAATCGATATTTCGACACGACAACCGGTTGAATGGCGCTTTCCGACTGAATGGCGATGTGAAAAGCACCTTTTTTAAATGGAAGCAATTCATCGCCTTGATGACGTGTACCTTCTGGAAAAATTAGCAATTTTGCATCCATTTCTCGAATCGCGTGCGTCTCCTTATTCAATCGATTCACCGAATCCGTTGTATTGGATTTATCAATAAATAAAGTGCCCCATAAATATGCAGCTATACCGAATGGGAAAGCATACAAGACCTCTCGCTTTGCTACAACGGTTGCGCGACCAATCACGGGCCACAAATATGCGAGCACTAAAAAATCATCGACAAAAGAAAATTCCACAAAAAAAAACCGGTTAAAATATTGCTTGAAAAATGTTTTGCAGAAATTGAGAAACAAATTCCATGATTTATGCTTTTTTCGTTACAATGAGTAGCAAACAACACATCGACGAATACAAAGGTAAAATTAATTTGTGTTACTTTTTCTTCGCTCGCACACAATGTTGCATACCCGTTAAATCGATTCCACTTTGGTGATTTATCACAACTACAGCACCATGATTTGGCTGAATATTTTCCAAGCCTCGCACCTCGTACGACGCACCAAGCGCTTTCATCAACAATCTCAAACCCCAAGCTGGTAATCTAGTGGTATTCGACAAAAAAAACGATACGATTAATTGGGCACGGAAGATGCAAACTCAGCTCCAACAAAGTAACAATGATTGTTTTGATTTGATTTTCATTTCGTTTGTTTATTTTCGCTATTCCGAACTTACAACGCATTTCGATAATCACGCGGCCGCACAATGAACATGGGAATGGGAAGAAATGTAGCCAATAACATGGATCCAATTAAAAATGCCGACATCTTTAGGTAGAATCGCATTGTATTTGAACACAAGATGATGGCAAAAGCCGCAAATCCACCAATATAACATTCGTATTCACAGATAAACATTCTGGAAGTATACATTTATGCGAATTATCAAGTGAACCGAATGGAAGAGCATGCAATACCAGCAAAATTCGTTAAATAAACACATCTTTGGTCAAAAAACAACTTTAATATACATCAATTGAGGACTTATAAAAAAAATTGTTTTGATAAACAATGGAAAATAAATACAAAACGCGGAAAAAAACTGTGTTTTTTCCCGAAGGGCACATTGATTCTCTATAATGAACGTAAATAACTTCTAAATCTCCGACTAATTTCGTTGAATTCTCATATTGATTCGATGTTGTCATAATGCTGAATTGAAAAGCAGAAAATTCACCTTGACAATGAAGTATTGAATTTCAAACTGTGATCTTGTAAATCATCAAAACTTGCGAATAATTTTAGACAATCAATTGAAATGTTCATGTAAAAAGCCAATTTTTTTAGTGGAATAATTCATCGTTAAGTCGAGAGATTTTGCTTAAGCATTCAAGAGTTCAAACGTTTGAAATTCAAACAAAACATCGTAGACTTGATGTCTTTTGATGAAAAGTTACTTCATTGTGAACAATCTCGTTGTGCAAAAAGTACTTTTTTTTGTGTAGATACAAATTCTGAACTTTATACCTATCATTAAACGTCACTTATTCGAGACTGATAAAACAGATTTAAACTGAAATGGGTCACAAACGCTATTTGTAGAGCAAATCAGATAAAATGATTCTTGTATAAATTTACGGAAATAAAATCGTAAAAAAAACTTTATGACTAATCCAATGTCGACAATGTTTATTATTTGTTTTTTATCAACATATATAAGAATTTTAATACAAACAAAAAAAATCACTCTTGACTTTTAATTATTACAACAATGAGTGAACTTCGAACAAGCACTTTGAAGCAGTACTTGTGATGTAGACACGATTGATTTATGTCCATTTTTATGATATCAACTCACTTTGTTTACTATCGAAAGCAATCGATTCACGATAACAGACAAATTTGTGATACAAAATGCAAAGGTAGTTAAACTGCCAACTGAATATTTGCAAGTCAATCAGTCCAAAATAAGTAGACCGAATGTTGAATAATTTTTCGATAAACTGAAGAACAAAGAATAAACAACTCCAGCGAATAATTGGAATTTACTAAATAAAACTTTAAATTGCATGAAAATCGAGGACCGAACCAAAATACGGATTTTCACTGTTTGAACGTGTAACACATACTGGCATTTGAAACGCCGGTAATTTACTAATAAACGTAATGTTAATAATATTTTTTTGGCTTTCAATTCGATTTCAAGTACTTGTAGTCATGCATAACAAATGACAAACACACACACACACACACATCTATTGCGAATACGTTGTCATTTCCCCGATGAACACACACACACGCAAATTTCGGTGTTGTTTATTATTCATTGTAAATTTGGTAAAATAAGCGACAATTTGCTACGACACATGTTTCTGTCTAATGATGACATCACATATATCTTATCGCTGATAATTGCACGTTACTTGATGAGTGTGTAAAACTTGTTCGCTGCTTTTAATTCGTTGAATAAAAGAGGCGCGATAAATACGTTCGAATAATGCCGATTCATTTCTCTGTATAAAGGAAGTATCCGAAATTGAAAACTAATCAATGAAAGCGATTTTTCTTAATAATTATTTATAATAACAATAATGTTTTATTTCAAATTCATTGTATCTTACAATAATGTTTGATTAATTATTATTTAAAAAAAGACAAACATTTGATGTGTATGAGCTAATGTTGTACTATGTCTATTGAAATTCACTTTTTGGTTAGAGTTTCATTTTTGCTACAATTGTTGTTCGCTATATCCAAATTCACACGAAAAAAGTTTAAAGAACACGGTGCAATCTTGATCACAATGATTCTTAAATTGTTTACTTCTTTTCTTGATAATTCATGTTACAAAAGAACTGAAACTGGTTTTTCATTTAATCTACTCGACTTTAAAAATTAAAATCACTTAAATTGTTTTTGTTTTTGTTTCGTTTGTCTAATTATTTGTTTCGCTGAGATCGTATTCGGCATAGAATTTGGGCCGAAAATCATCCGGTTTGGATGTCAATTTTTCAATCAATGTTGATGGTGATGATTTTTGTTCGGTTGATGTGAAATGTGAGTTACGTTTTAGATTTTCAACCAAAAATGCTGATTCCGGTAAAGCTGCCGTTTTATTTCGATTTGTATGGATCTTTTCGTGTCGAACCAATTTATCGCGTCGTGCAAATCCCTTTTGACAGTGTGAACACTGAAATTTCGTGCCATTATGAATTTGACTGTGTCGATCCAAATCGCGTTTGGTTTTGAATGATTTTTTGCATGTCGTACAATTGTGTCGTGAAGATGTTGGCGTTGACGGCGACATTTGAAATGGTTTTGTGAGCTTGAGTTTCAATTTTGGAATGGTGTTTGGTTCCGATCTTACGTTGCATTTTGAATAAATGGCATTTTCTTGTTTTGTCGGTGAAATTTGTTGGATTTGATAGCTTTGATTTGTGTACGATGGGTATGGCTGTTGATCAATGAACATCGGTTGATACTCAGTGTTAGCCATGGTCTTTGATTTGATCGGTGTTTTTTGTGTACGCACCGAATCGTTGCTGCTGTTTTTCTTGTCTTCATGCGTTTTCATATGGTTTGTAACGTTGGTTTTGCGGGAAAACGCCTTCGCGCATACTGGACATGAAAATGGACGGATGTTTGTGTGGCTGACAGCATGCTTACGCAAGTCGGCACGACGGCCAAAGTTCTTGTTGCATTGCGTACAGAAATACGGTCGTTCGGCGTCGTGAAACTGTCGGATGTGTGCGATCAAATTCACCTGTTCATCACATGAGAATGCACAAAATCGACAGATATGCGGCACCAATGGATCGTGGCTACTTTTTTCGTGTGCATCACATTCGTGTCGTTGAGCAAATGCTGCCTCACAATATTTGCAAAAGCATACATTCCGCAGTGGTTTTGGATCGAAAATGACCGATGTGTCGCTCAAAAAACTACGATTACTGTCAGGCACCGTCATTGGATAATGTGGTAATGGAACTGGGAATTCCTTGTTTATTTCGGCAGGTTGTGGGTTTTCGGTTGTAGTTTCATCGTCCGAATCTTCATCCGAACTAACGTAACATTTCAACGGATCGATGATAACAACGTCATTTTGTTGGAATTCGCTCGATCTATGCTGATCATGTAGAATATCGTCCAAATGCCATGTCGGGGTTACATCATCATTTGAACGACTTGCCATTGACACTACGAAATCTTGTAGTTTTCGCTCACATTGGTGGACACCGTCGCGAAACTCGGAAAAGAGTTCGGACAAATACAAACAACGGTGGCAAATATTTGTTGGCAGACCATCGTCCTTTAGTAGCTGAAATTATTTTAAAGTTTTTCTTTATGTTTGTTGAATTGACATGTTTTTTTTTCGTGAACCAACCTTGATTTGATACAAATCATAGACACGATCGGCCAATGGTCGCTTCGATGGATTCTGTTCGATGCCTTCAAATACGTTGATGAACACTTCATCGGATTGTAAACACAAGCGACAAACATGTCGAAAATTTTGTTCGTTTAATTGAACGTTTTCGTTCTCCGGCAACTCCATGCTCAACGTCATTTAAGACCATCAACATCGACGTATCTGCAGCAATGTGTTTTTTGTTTTCTTCTTTAGATATGATGCAATACAACGAAATGAGCTGACAACAATTTAAGTTTCACTATAAGGCGACCTTATTATTTTTATGCAGTGCCCATTATTTTATCGAAATCTGTAAATAATGGTTACTTGTTATTTACGATGGACATTTTTTACAATAAAAATTACTTACGTGTGACTCAAGACTGATGCAGACAACATTTCAATTGTGTTTTGCAATACAAAATAAAGCCACTTCAAATACCATCAAACATTGTTCATATACAACTATCAATAATAATAACAATTTTTATTCAATTTTATTGTATTCAATTATTGCCAGATTTGTCTATAATTTTTTTTTAAATTGTTCTTTGTGGATTCTTTGTTGGCAAGAATGATACAATTGTATTTGTTTGTTGGATTTTTTTTGCACAAATAAAAATATAAGCCGTGACGGCTGACAATATTTCGTTTTCTTACAATTTTTTCAGTATAACAATCATGAAGTTGGTTCTGTTTGAAGCATCGACGCTTGTTTACTACTTTGACATTTCAACGCTGCGTTTCAATACATTTGAATTATTTGTTTCACCTCCACTTTTATGAAAACTCAAGTATGCTATGAAAATTAAAAAAAAAAAACAAATCTGTCCAATTTTGGAGAATTGTGTCATTAGGAAAATAATATGTAAAGCGATCGGTTGCAAACAAAAAAATTAAATTGTGAGAAAAGAGAAGAAGAACTGTGAAAGTTGGTATATACACTATCTATGAAATGGATGTAACACAGACTATCGGTGACATGAACCAAACGCAAGATGCAAACCAATCGAACGATGAAAGTCCGGTATTAGTTTGAAACTTATTTTATTACAAGAAAACTTTGACTTTTGACTCTATTTTTTCATTTCTTGAATTTTTTTCTTCTTTTGTATTTTTTTAGGTGGTTGCAACGTCATTGAACAGTGATGCTCCACCGTTTGTGCCGTCCGATTCATCAGGAATATCAGGAAGCGGTGACTCGCAGACGCAAACATATGGAACATTCACCCTGAAAGTGCCACTCGATAGTAAAATCTGGAGAAGCATTTCGGCATCTACACCACAAAATCATCGTATTTTGTCGAAAAAGCTATCCGTTCCTCCCGTTCCATTGCCAATCAATTTCATTTCTGCGGCAAACAATCATAACTTAATGACCGATGTTTCTTCAGAGGGATTAATTTGCATTCGACGCCAAGACAATATTTTGTAAGGCTACTGTGCTTGAATTTCTACTGTGTTTTTTTACAATCTACGATTTTTTCAATACTTTAGCTCTTTTTTATTTGTCACTGATACTTTTTCGTGTTTTCTTTAGTTTTTAGATTTTTTTTACTTTATAATTTGATAAAAATTCTTAGTCACGATCTAATTTTCATTGAACAGCATCGACATTTCTTTGGATGGTGCCATTAGAGTTGCTTGCCCAACACAGAAAATATTAATTTGCGTTTCCGCTATGGCAACAAATATCGTCATATATCATCCGAATGGTCGCATATTCCAGAGTCAGTCTCATGTTGATGTGGTTGCCTTCGATGGGACATATCAAAATAATTTGGTGCGATACGCGAAATTTTGGACGAAAGGCATCAGTTTCATGGCCCGAGATATACCTGTCGTTTATTTAGTAGACGAAGGCGGATTACGGAGCAGCATTGATAATTTCGTGCATATTCGAAATGATTATGCAATGGAAGTGTTCAATAGGTATGTATTTCAATATGTAATCATATGTTTGCTTTCAATTGAAAAACGTCAGCGATTGTTCAATGTTACTTTTTCGTTGATGTTGTTTTTTAAAAATGTTAGTCGAAGTGTACGACATGGTTCTTGTGCTTTTGTCGACGCCGTTAATATGATGCAAAAATCAACTCACACGCTACGAAATAGTAGCGAAATATTCGAGATTAATCAAATTCGGATCATAAGTAACAGTGATGGCACCATCAGGTAGATTTACCTTCACCTATCTTGCGCTATTCAAAAACTTGCGGCTTAAATCTTTTATTTCTATTCATAAAAATAGTATTGATCGCCCAACCAAATCGATTACGATTCGAATCAATCCGCGCAAAGGTGGCATCGCGGTGACATCGTTTCATATTCATGCAACAGCTTCAATGGGAAAGTCTCCACATCTATTTCTTCGGTAATTTTTTGTGTCAAAAATGTTAAATAAATCGCATTATTAATCGAAAGAGCTATACGGAATTTAAATATATTTCAGTCAAGGAGATCGACGTCTTCACTTTGATGGCACGGTCTTTTGTGTGCGGAATGGCGGATATTCAGCTGGGTTCGACGAAAGAAACCAAGTCACTATTTTCAATAAGAAAGTAACATTGCCGCATATGAATCTTTGAATTCAACATTTTTTTTTCTCTCTCAATAAATATAGTCGTGGAACTAAAACCAGATAGATTTTCATTTTTTTCCGTATTATTATTTACCGATTTTTGTTTATTTTTTTTTTTTACTTTGATTTATCAAAAATTGACCTAGTTATTAATTTTCAATGTTTTCAAGTGAATTATTGGCTTTTCTGGTTCTTCAGTAACGGCTAAATGTTCGCAGCCAGTAACATTTTGTGCAGCTTCACAACGATTCAATGATTCGTCAAAAGCGGCTCCAACGCCACACACATGCAATCTTGGCCGACCATTGTTGCACAAGAAATATCGTTGACAATCATCCGATCGATAGAATTTAGTTTCTCCGGGACCAAAACCTTCTTCTCTGGTTTCTGGTGGGCAAGTGTATCTCAAATAAGCTTCTGGATTACAGGCTGTTACAAGATCTGGCCAATCGCACTGTAAAAACACAATTTTTTGGAAATAATAGCACAAATTAGTCTTGATTCGTTTGAAATACAAAAATTACACGAATAAAAATGGTAGTCACCTGATAGGTTTCGGGATTGAAAGCCAAACCAATGGGACATGTCAATTTGTAACCACGACCATCGGCACAATTTAAAAAGTATTGACATTCTGATTCGTCACCCAATTTAAAGTATCCAAATTGATGTGCGCATTCTTCAGTTGCCTGTAAAAAAAAAAAATATATGCGAAAAACTCGTTTAATAAATTACAATGTTAAACAGCGCAAATAGTGGCGCGTTGAACTTGTTGTTTATTAAAATGAATCACTGTTACCGGATCTGTGTTGATTTATCTCATTTGTATCTTTCGAAACGCGACAAACAGACGAATGACAAAAAATGAATAAAATGCACGTACCTGTGGTGCTTGTCTTCCAGAACGTGTGCCACAGTCAACGTCGATTGGATATTGGCATGGGAATGTGAACACACCAGCTCTATCATTGAACAACAAACCATCTGAGCATAGTTTTTCTTCGGGTTCTCCGTCAGTGCATTCAACATATCTGTCGCACTGGAAATTATCGAAGTATAGATTAAGTACAAATTTCCTATTGTTAATGAAATATTGTATCAAAGTCGTTTTTATACCTGATCGGCAACAGGATAACGAGCGTTTTTTTCTAAACATGAACCTTTCCAGGGCTCTTCTTGCACCTTCTTACGTCCACCGCAATCAACTATAAAATTAAAATTACAAAATTATTTATAAAGAAGGTCGAGTTAATAAAAATAAGAAAAATCAAGCTGAACTTTATCATAATTATGTCAATTATGCTTCTAAAACTTGAAAATATTCAGATTCATAAATCAATTTATTTTTTCATCTATTTGACATTTTCCGGAGTCTGTTGTAAAATGATTTTATATGTCAAATAGACGGCTTCAAAATTTCTCGTAAACAACATAAAAATTGATCTTTTATGTATGCTAATTGATGTTGTCAAGTGACACAGAAGCGCCCATGAGACAAATGGAATAAGTTGTTTGATTTGACATGATTCAATATATTTGCTATTTGATGAGCGCATAAGATTCCATTTCAAGTTCACCTTGAATAATCACAGAATGTAAAAACTAACACTTTAACTGCATTCACGAATGCAAACGATTTTTTTAAATTCTCTTCAATTTCAGTAAACAATTTGCTTAATTTGAAAATAATCAAAAATTATTGTTTTAAACAATTGGAGAAAAAAATATTGTCGATTATATGTTTTTTTTTTAAATCAAGGTAATATAAACACAAAAATACTTGCCTTGATAGCAAAAGAATGCAATGAGTAAAACGGCCACAGAAAAATGCTTCATGTTTGTAGATGTTTAAACGAATATGCGTCTTGATATCACGACAGCTCTCTTAAAACTGTTCAAGATTAAGAGTTTCATAGCGCACAATCGATGCAAATCGATTGAAAAGGATTTGAGATGTTACGATCAAATGTCATATAACCTGCTTAACATACATATATGCTTTTCGGGCGTAAAACGCTTATCGATATTTACGCGCCATTCGAATTAATGAATATGCTAATCGATACATTCAGAGTCCAACACAGATCAGATGTATTAAAAGTTAAGTAATTTCCATCTCTACTCAATTCACATAACTTTTATTATAAAAAATAGCGGTATGTTTCCATTTGTCTGAAATATTCGATCGCGTGATTTTGGCTTAGTCCAAAATTCCATTAAAAACATCATTTCAATAGAAACAGAGAGTCTCATGAGACTCTGATTCCATCATGCCATGTTGAAGCAGCATTATTCAGCTCTCTCTTTATCACTATGCGACTGCATTCGACCTTGACATTTCTATGGTCTCGAGCTATTATCATTCAAATTACCTGACGCATCGACAGTTTCTAACGAATCTCATTTCGCAACGTTTATGCTTGAAATTAAAAAAATAGGAGTGCAGCTATTTTTTTAGCTATTTCGCTTGAAAATACGACGAAATTGATTGAGATGAGTCACGCACATTTATCTCTTTTTCAAATTTATGTCAATAATTATGATCGAAACTCATTAAAATACGAATAAATTAAAATTTACGCAAAAAAAAATCGACGATATCGGTTGAAATATGATTTATGGGAACAAAAAAGAGGCAGGCAGACATTTTTTTCAAGTTAACGAATTCATCAAGAACCACTGGGGTTTAGCATATGCTTTAACGTGCTTTAATGTGATATTATGGAGTCAGAGTCTCATGAGACTTTCCATTTTTATTGAAACTCGGTTTTTATTCAAATTTTGGAAATTCACTAAGCCAAAATTACGCGATCGTTTGTATCTATATTGTTTTGAAAACAAGTCCTATTGACTCTCGTTGGTTTTTCAGAGTCATTGGTCAAAAACGTAACATTGGTTCAATACTTACCATTGACTTTTGCCAAATTGTAATCAATAATAAAAAAAATAAACAAAATTGTGTTAATTTTTTGTGTGAAAAAGTATAGCATTTTATTTTTTTTCTCTCAATTGTTTTTTCTTCCTTTGCATCATGCTAATCATCAAATTTGTGGTTTACAATCAATTTTTTTCAAATCTGTTTACATGTGTGCTGTACTAATCTGCACACATATAACTATATACGTATACACGATAACTTAAATAATTTCACAAAGAACTCCCTCCTTCATCAATATTGAATAATCAATACTTGCTGAACACGTAATAACCGTTCATATTTGTCTTTGTTACGAAAGAGAAAAAAAAGTGTCATTACAGGCCGAATCAAGTAAATTCCAATATGCATCTATAGTCCCATCTTCGAGTCGGAAATTAGTTCAACTTGTTTCCTAGTGTGTGTGAATTCGAAGGCCTATTATTATATTTCGATAAACGTGTGTTGTTTTCTTAAAATTTATTATTTAACTCTTCTAGTTTTTTTCTTTTCCGATTAATGTAACTTCCACAAAAAATAATAATAATAATAATATTAAACAAAACAACATTTATGCACATTGTGACTTAAATTGATTAAGTTAACAAAAAAAATATATGCTTAAATATAAACAAAGACTGCATTTTGATTTCTCTGTCTTAGTCGGAGTTTTTGAAGTTTTATGTTTTTAATTTAAAATTAAAAAAACGCCCCGCGAGAAAAAAGAAATAAGTCATATGGGGGACGAGATATAAAGAATTTAGGCGTTAACACACTCTCTCTTTGTTACATGTTGGTTTCTGTGCGCTTCGGTGATGTGTCATTTGGTTTTTGTCAAATGAATTCAATACCATTTCGCGGAATTTGGTGAACATAATCGATGATTCAAATAAACGATGGTGCTATGTTCGAAATAGTATCAGTTCGGATGTGTGTGTGTGTTTGTGACATTTAAATTTCGGTTTAAGTCAATTAAGGCACTTTTATGAAGAGAACCGAAAAACCAATTTTTATTTGTTTGTTCGGGATAAATGAGAAAGCGATTGAGATAAAGAATTCTTGAAAGCAATGTGAGATAAACGGCTGTTATCTCACACCGGATGTTTTTTTATTCATCGCATTTTGCGAAGCCCGATCATGGTATAGGATTTCCTATATAAACCTTGTAACTAACAACACCTCTAATGTGTATTACAAGTACTAATCGACGTTTGTAACAATATGGCCGTCACGGTTTGGCAAAATCATAATGAATCGATTAAACTGCCTTAAACTGTTAAAATAAAACAGTAGAAATAAATAGATTTTAATTTTTTACATTTTTGAAAATAAAAAATCTTTTGTTTTTTTAATTTTGTGAGATTTTATGTCCACAATATTCAAAAATATTAAATTAATAAAAATGAATTGGTTGACATAACCTCACTTTTGTGTCACAATCGTGATAAACCGATCAAATAATTATTAAAACGAAAGTGAGGTTATGTCAACCACTTCATTTTTTATTTTCATTAATTTAATATTTTTGAATATTGTGCAGTAAATCTCACGAAACTACCGGAAACTACAAAACAAAACAAACAATTTTTATTTTCAAAAATGTAAAAAATTAAAATCTATTTATTTCTACTGTTTTAATAGTTATTTAATCGGTTTATCACGATTTTGACACAAAAGTGAGGTTATGTCAACCAATTCATTTTTATTAATTTAATATTTTTGAATATTGTGGACAGAAAATCTCACAAAATTAAAAAACAAAAGATTTTTCATTTTCAAAAATGTAAAAAATTAAAATCTATTTATTTCTACTGTTTTATTTTAACAGTTTAACGCAGTTTAATCGATTCATTATGATTTTGCCAAACCGTGACGGCCATATTGTCACAAACGTCAATTAGTACTCGGAATACGCATTAGAGGTGTTGTTAGCTGCGGGCATGATCAGGCTTCGGCATTTTGTTGTTGTTAGTTTTAAAAGTGCAATTATTTGGTTTGCTTACTCGATTAAGAAAAAGTAGCAATTCAGCAGTTGGGGCGGTTGTTAATGACAAGAGAAACGTGTTCCTAACTATACGGTTGATAGAATGTATGAAAGTGTGTGTGGAGGGGTGTTTGTGTGGAATTGATATGTTTACAAAGTTGATTCCACTCCAATATTTATTTTGACATATATTTTTGTTGTTGCTGCTGCTGCTGGTATCAATCATTAATCTAAAGCTCAAAATATGTTGTAAATATAACAGCAATGTTCTCGTTCTATATATGTATTATCAAATTGTCTATTGATTGCTGGCACATATGCACGCAAAGTCTTTAGTGATATCAATTCGTAACTAGAACTGTGGGAAATATATGGTAAAGTGAACTATTCATTTCATGTGTTTGTTTGTTTTTTCGTTTCATTTTTGAATCAATATATATTGTGATCGTTAGATACGGTAAATGTGCACATAAGCAATGACATTAAATGTCAGTCTAAATTGCTGATGGATGGACATTGAGCTCAATCTATGGTGATTTGCCCTAATGGGCGGATGTAATATGGTCACATTTCAGCTATTAAATTTGATTAAAAAGTTTTTCGTTTCGAAAATAATGATCAAATTATGGTTTGAACTTGTTTCCACGAATAATTATTCACCGAACTGTGATGTTATTCTACAACATATTTGAGCATGAGAGTTTTTTTGTTTTCCGATTAAAATTTAATTAATTACACAACTCGTGTGTGTGTGTGTGAGTCAATTTGAAATATCTGGCAACTTTCATACGCTGGTTTTTTGTTTTAAATATTTAGAAAAAAGATGCATTTTTTGACATATAGTTAGGTTGTTTTTGTTTTGATAATTTGATTTCAGATATTTAAAAAAATAATAATTTTTGATACATTTAAGTGCATATTTGTTGACCATTTGATTTTTGGCCAATACATGTAATATAATCATTGATTTTCAAATCCATTTAGTTGTTGAATTAAAAATTAAATATCACTTCGTTTTAAATATCGTTTTTTTTGTTTGTTTAATAGTTTACAACTACTTATTTTCAGATCCTGTTTTATTCCCTATTTCAATTCAAATTCATGTTGTCTTTTCTTTTTTTTTCAAGCCATTTCAATGAATGTTTGAATTCACATAATTAGGCTTAGTTATTCATCTTCTTCTTCTTCTTCTTCTTCTTTTGATCATGCTGAAAACATTCATTTAACTCTGAGTATTGCTGACTATACAAATATTTCATAACATTCTCTTAGAGATATATGTTCTGAATACTATATATATGGCATTTGATGCTTGATTTGTCCAATAGTAAATCATTTGTTGCATCCTACGGTCTTTGATTTTAACTGTTTTTGTTTGTTCGTTTGCCCTGCGTTGCGGGCGTTGTGACAAAATCATTCGAACTTTTTTCCAATGAAAAACAATGATTTTGGTTGATGTAAAATTCCGAATGTGTCCGATTTAAATAGTAAAAAGTGATGGTTACAATACTAATCTATGATCGTTCTTGTTCATTTCAAGTTTTTGGGAGCATATTCACAATATTATTTTATTCACATTATTTACTATACAGCGCATCCCTTTCGCAATCCATACATGACTTGTAGTTCGGGATAAATAATTTTTTTAATGAGTTGATTGGTTTTAGCTGCAAGCATGGCACGTTTTGTATCCTTTTTCAGCACTTTGATACCCGGTTTATGAACTAAAAATGCATTGTCCAATATGTGGAACTCATAATCCAATGCACATAGAGCGTAACCCTGGCGAAACGAAAAAAAAATGCAATTAATCGATCAAATTTAATAAATTGACATCAAGTGTCTCTTTTTTTGTTTAAACAGCAAAGGTTGATTTTGCCAAATGAATTTGTGTATTTTATCCGAACCTGTGTCATTTTGTCGCTTTTCCCTTCCCAACTTAGCCGTTCATCGTAATGTGGATCGGCGTGTGTTCCAATGTAAATGGGTTCCCAATGCACAAAATACCCGGTACGCTTGCCAATATGAAACACTCCCAAATCTAAAAACAATATGCGACAACCACCGACAGAGAGAGAGAGAGAGAGAGAGAGAGAGAGAGAGAGAGAAAAAAAGAAGACGAAAATTTGAAAAATCGATATGAACAGTGTGTGGCACGAAAATGATTTATGCCACCACACAACAAATATGCGATAGAAAAAAAAAAGTGAAACACAAACCATCTGTTTCATTAGCAGCCATCCATTCTTTTGATTTCGGCACACCATGGCATGAGGAACAGACACGTTTGTGAAATGGTATCGCTTTGCCAGATTTCAGTAACTCTTGTAATTCGGTTTTGTCACGTGGAACCTGTGATGCGCTATCTACTTCAAATAACGATAATGGAAACACTCTCGGATTTTTTCGTTGCAACGGTGCATCGTTGCGAGCAACCATTTCAAGAAATTTTTTGGCCAAACCAGGATTTGGATATAACTCAATGTCGCTAGCTAATATGAAATGTGTCATTGCTGCATCGCGTGCTATATTACGACCCACATTCACCGGGTACAATAATTTCTTTTGCGTTTTATATAACTGGCTGGAACTAACATTGGCATATGGTGGTAGCACAGAGCAATTAAATGGTATTTCTAATATTTTATCATGTTTTGGAACCTGTTCAAATAGAAAAAAGATGGAAAAATTATGTCATTTAAAGTGTTTATTGATGAGAATCATATATATCCGTCAGACACACACAATTGAATGCGATTTACAATGGCGAATATGGAATTTCGAGTGATATTTCCCGTTACGTATACTTACCGCTTTTGGAATGTGTTTACTGCTAAAATATATGTGAAATGTGGTAAATTGTCGAACAAGTGACGATTCTGGTGTACAGTCTCGTAAATAACGAATCGAATTTATTGTTGGTAGAAAATCGGTCCCAGGCGCATGCAATGCTATACTTACTGGGGCATTCCATCTACACAATTCGAATGAATAGAGAGAGAGAGAAAAAAATGTAATAAGTAAATCGAGAATTTAATAAAATACTTTATTATTGAACAATTGAGTTGAGTATTTCTTTCATAACAAAAACATGTACATCGTCAATGGAGAGAACAATTGCGTTACATCAGTGAATGAGTGTCTATTCTGTCGAAAATTGAATAAAATTTTGTGCTGACAACTTATCAAATGGAAAACTTATCGAATCCTATTACGGTACGCTTCAAAAATGAATAAATCATGCAAGCGATCGATGAAAATGAGCCAAATAGTCTCTCAAATTGAAAGAGTTTCTGTGTTATCTTTTTTACTTTTGAAAAACTTAAACACGTAAAACTGTCGAAGATGACAGTATATACGATAAGAACAAGTAAAATTTAATTCTCTTGTTTGCAACAAGTTCCTTTCATTCAAATCGTATAGTTCTTTTCTTATTATGAGTTTGACCAAGCGCTTTTTTTGTTGTGTACAAGAAATTTGATAACGGCACTTCATTCGCACACAAAACATTCGTTAAAGATTTATATTCGGTTTTTGTGTTGGAAATGCTCAAAGCTTAGCCGCTCGATTGAATTGAGTGTGTTGCCAAGACACAAGTTGCTCGTAAAATGGGACGAATGAAGGAGAGCGTTAAATCAAGTTGTCTGAGTGTTGTTGCATGAGAGATAGCGAGAGAAAAATTACAAAAGGTGAAAATTAATTGAATTCGGTTTCCTCGGCACCGAAAATCAATGGTGAAAACGGTGAAAATGAATCAGTTGTGTTTAAGCTTAAAGCAGCATTCGATGTTGCATAAATCCGGTGGTGGTTTAATACATCAAAAGAGCAAGTCATTCATCTACTAAGAAATGTAATTACGTAAAGTGAGCAAAAATTCAGAAGGTTGAGCGCACATTTCCAGTATTTAATGGCCAACGTGTTGCTGACTGAATGCTTGCACTGATTCCATTGATATTTGGGTCAACCTGCTGTATTTCTTATTTATCTTCTTCACTGTGTGGCCACTCGAAAATAACCAACAAACGCTTTATATTTTCATCATTGATGATAAATTAAAGAATCCACCCGGTCGATGGTACAAAAAACTTGTATGTTTTTCCTTCTTTCTCACTCACTCTTCTTCATGCCACCATAAAAAAATAAAGGACCTGAAGCACGACCACTTCTTCATACTTATTTCACGGCTTTTGGCATGATTCATTCTTATTTGAACGAAAGAAAGTTATCACGAAAGCTTTGGTGCCACACACTCACATGTTTGAACAATGGCGCAAATGTTTGTCGAAATAAAAGAGAACAAAAAGGTGAGCACATTCAAAAAAAAGGAGTGCTCGTCGGGGGGTGTAAATTACCTTTCAAGCAATGGTATTAAATTATCTAAAAATGTGTAGTCGGCATGTGTGGTGTACGTCAACGTTTGGAAGCAACGTAATTCGCCATGATCAGCACGAATGTAGTTTTTTAGAACCCAGAAGTCGCTACGTTGCACTGTTTGTGCTTCGTATTCTTTGTCGTGACAATGAATTAGTAATCTGTAAACAAACCAAAACCGTTCATATTAGATAGATCAGAATCATATAGAAAACTTAAAACAGAAAAAAAAATCAATTGTTGTTGATTGAACATTTAAAATTGATGTTGTACTTACTTCAGCCTTGTTTCTAGTTCGTGTTCTTCGGTGTTTACTTGAATATCTGATGCATTCACAAAATTTGCTTCGGGATATAAAACATCTGTAATGACTTTGTTTGGTTGTGATTGTGATACGTCAGACTGCAGTACTTTCGGTAATTGTGAATCGTCAGCAACGTTGACTATTTGTTGTTCTTTTGGCAGCAATTTCAATTGTGAACGTTGTTTGGATGCTAATTGCTCTGGATCTGCATCAAATTCATTTTGGCCATCCTTATCGCTCATCTAAAGAGAAAAATGCAAATTAAAAAGGCAGGAATATTATTTAAGCGTTAATTTGCATAAAACTGCATTTTGCCATGTTTTAGTATGTGTGTACACGCGCGCGTGCTCACACGAGAATTTCAATTCGTTTGGCCGTTACTGTGCAGCAGATAATCGTGACTTATGGAACGTGAATCCATAATATTTAGTGCAAAATATACATCGTTGTCGTTTCGTAATAACCACTAACTAACTTTACGTCCACGTTGCTATAATATTTGCTATCACCAAAATGGAATCCGCATAAAATCAGGCCGATTTAATTAAAGTTGCAGTTTTTGTTGTTGGCTGCGCACAAGAATCATGTTTTATTTATGACTTTGGGTCGAGATTTCAATTTACACGTTGAAACATTTGCAGGGTTTTTTTATGCACAATAAATGTGACTCACACTTGATATGAATTTTACTGACGTCATCATACCGTGAATGTCAATTGCACCTTAATGACATATGCCAGCAATTTTCAGTTTAGATGATGGTCAATTTCATTTCATTGCGGTGGACGACAAAATTGAATGTAAACGTTCACCGTGCCGGAAAATATAAAATATGACTTTTGCCATAAATGTTTAAATTTTTAGGACTTTTCGAAAATAGCATACTTTCAATTGAGGCATTTCAATGGGTTGAGACCGTGCACATAATTGGAAAATATACCGTAGTAATATTTTAAGTGTCATTGCCAATGAAGTAAAAACCAACCAGACAAAAGTGAATCTTGGCACTCGGTACTGACTTTCTTTGCGAAACGATACACTCAATGAGGTTGATAACTGTACAAGTGAATTTTCTAGTAAACGATTGCAACACCTAATTCAATAGAATTCAAATCCAATACCGATCAACATGAATTTTAATGCTTCAATTGATGTGAAAGAGGGGAATGTTGACCATGTATGTGTGTTTTTCTTCTTTCATCTTTTAAATCTATCATTGAAAAAAGTAACGGTTACTTTAAGATGCTGGCTTTGGATGCAAGATTGCTATCGATGTAAAATGCTAATTACAAATGAGAATCAAAAACGGGAGATGAATACGATATAATCAATTATGAAAGAAACAAATCTTTCTCTCATCAAGCCGTACCACACGGTGTTGCGCACAAAGCGAATGCTTTTTTCTTCTTTCAATTTTGATGACTCTCGCGCCGCGCGCGCATTCAACAACAACACAAAATGCCCGACCGTAAATAGAGCGGCAAATGACCGAATAAAAGAGAAACGCGGAGATTTTAAGACAGTTATCTTTTCGAACAAAAAAAACAATCGTTTATTCCAAAAGATTGGTCCCGATCAAATATGTGTAATGGATAAATGTGCCTCCGTCGAAAGAGTATTTATTTGGAGAGCAAAAATGCCGTGACGTAAAGGTTCCGGATGAATAAAAATATGAATATCTTTGAGAAAAAACAAACCGATTACCTGATTTGAATCATTATTATCTATCGGAGGCTCTGGTTCCGCATCTTGTGGCTGTTGCTCCTGTTTATCATGTGCATTGTCACCTGTTTGTTGTTGTGCACTGGTTGCTGCATTTGATCGCGTAAGCGCAGCCGCTTGTTGCGATTTAACTGCATAATCGTCTTGTATCACAAATGCTGGTCCAAGCGATATGTTACTATTTCCTATCATTAAATGACTACAAATGTACAGAAGTACGGCAATATTTATTAAAATACTGCAACGTAGAAGCCAATTTCGTCGTGTAAACATCTTTCGTTGTTACACATTTATTAATTCAGTCTGGGCTCGGTACAAGCACGGCACGAATCATACGAAATGAAGAAAAATGTGTAACCATCCAGCGACTCTCGTACACATACACACACACCCGTCGAAGTCAATGTGCGCGCAAGAGCGAGAGCGAGAGAGAGATAGATGACCAAAGCAAGCGAAGTGTAAGCACAATATTGGTTTTTATGGCTATTATGCTAACTAGCCAATGGCTTGCGTGTTTTTTGCACTTACTGTGCAATAAACATTTACACTGTTTGTGCTCACAGCTCAATGCAGTCCAACGAAGTAGAAACGAACGAAAAACGAAAAAACACAAAGTTTAATAATTCAAATGCATTCGTATTCTTGTTTACAGCGTATCTTCTATTCAAAGATTTTTGCAACTTGTATCTGTTGTTACCACTATTATTATTTTTTTCACTCGCCAACCTTAAGTATGTGTATCAAATTCACTGAACTTTACACACTTTTTCTCATATTCCTGCATATTTTATTGTATAAAAACCAATTTTCCATTTTCATTTGGTCACGCTGTTCCCAATCGCAAATGTAAAAACAAAATCGTTGTGGATTCGTTTTCTTTCTTCTTTTCTCGTTCGCAGTTTAAACAACACACTTTCCAAATGGAAAAACTACAACACTATTTATATAATCCCTTTTCCGTGTATTGTACAACTATTATAGCTCGTGCATTTGACAGAAACTCCATAAACAATACTAATTTTGTGATGCTCTAGTGCCTCGAAACCATACACTGTATTTTTTTATTATTCATCGCATTTTTTTTGTTCTTATATGAAAATCCTTCTCTGCATTTAATTGTTGCTTTGAATTGTCGTCAATGTGTTTGTGTGTGTTGCTTTTTTGCGCCTTTTCTTTGATGCAGTTTTCTTTCGTTTTCTCTCACTCAGCTTCCACGGGCTTGTTTTTATTATTATTGTTGAAGACACCTGCAACACATAGAAAGAGAAATACACATAAATAAAATGATTGCAAATGATGGTTACCACAAAGAGCTATATTAAAAGAGTTATGCGTCAAAGTGAAAAGATTTAAAATAATAAGAAAACTCTCTTCAATGAGAACGAAAAGCGTTTTGCACGCGATAACATTCTTTTGGTAAGATGAGGAAAGAAAGAAGAAAAAAAAAGTTGCGGAATGTAAAAAGCATATTTTTGCAGCATTCAATTGAATTTGAACAAACACTACTGCGCCAATGCAGTCTTTCAATTTTATTTCGTTCAGAAATTTCTCTCACAGCATATATTTAGTGTTTGTTGCTTTGCTTTCGCAAGGTTGCTTTTCTAAGAACTAGAACAAAACATTCTTTTCGGTTTCTATGTTTGGAATATAATGGTCGCTCCCATATGCTAAACTGCGTAGTACTTTTAAAAAAACCAGAATTTCAACAACAAACAATTTTCGCACACTCTTAAAACTCGGCTATTGTATCATTCACCAAAATATTTTTCATAAAAAATTTTTTTGTTGATTTTAACACTGACATTGTTTGTAAATGATTCAAGTCTCGCATCAAATTTTATAGCAAGTAAGACGGTTTTTGTGATGTGATCATAACCGAATCAGATATATATTCTATATCACCGCCATATGTGACGGTTCAACGTTCGTGGAATGACTGAACTTTTTGTTCTACTCCGAAATAGAAATTTTATCTGAATACAGAACCACTAATTAATGCTATTTGGTGAAGGCTTCTTATGGTTCATAAATACGAGTTCTTTCGGGTGCTGTAGCGTTTGTTAAATGAACCGACAGAAACACTTTAATTTAGCTAATTATATTGTAAAATAGAACAACTTCCACGCGTCAATTCAACAATGATACCGTGGCACATTTATGTTTCACTTGTGAAAACTAGAAACTTCTCAAACACTGTTGAAATTCGATAATATTTTCGTGCCAAAAATAGCTTCACCATTCTGATATTTATTATTATTATTGAATCTATTATTTGTTACCCCACATCCAGCGAAAAGGTCGATTGAAAAATTGAAAACCCATAGAAAAATCGTCGAGCGCGTCTATTGCAAATATGACATGATAACAAACTGAAAATGGCATCGAAAATCGTGAATCAAGAGTTCTCGGAAGGTCGATCATTGAATGTGCATCAACACACGTGTATGCTCTTGTGACTGCCGTTGCTGTAGAGAATCTCATCGAAAAATAAATACGGTTAATATGAAATCCAACGAGACGGAAAAGAGAGAAAAAATTAGTCATTGAAAAGATGCGAGTTATTCGCTATGAATTGATTGGTTTTGTGTGCATGTTTGCGTGTTTCTGCTTCTTCATTTATGTGCTGTTGAATTTTTTTTTCTTCTCTTCTCCACCGAAAAAAAACTCGTTTTTCGTGTGTATGTGTGTATATCTGTCAGTACTCTTTCTCCCCGTAAAGGTTGATTTATCGTAATCATATTAAAATGAGAGAAGAGCGAAGCAGCAAAAAAATTGATAACTCGTTTTTGACTGAAATCCCATGTTTGAAGCCGCACGCACTAAAATCGGACGGGAGATGGAGACAAAGTGAAGGAAAGAACCTTTGCCGCGGAATGAAGCGCGATATAATGTGATTGAATTTCAAATTGATAAGAAAGTTTTTTTTTGGTTTGTTTCATATTACAAAAGTGCAATGCACGTTTGCAAACAACAACAACAACAAAAAATGCAGATAGAACAACAAAAACCGTATTGTATTTCATGTGGTGTAATTTTCAGCTCGTTGTCTTATTGTTCAAATTGTATTCTTTGTGAATTATAGTTTTCATGCCACGAATGAAATAATGTGTAATATTGCCTAGATTTTCCGCAACACACACTCTTCCGTGCCGAAGACAAAAGGGACGGGAACACGTCGACTGAATTTCAGTCACTGAATGTCAACGAACGAAGGTCAAATGCTTACCATTTATATACGGTGGTGTACAATGGTAGCGCGCGCGAATTTCATGCTGGGGATTTGCACTCGCAATAATTCATGACCAATGGAAAATGGCCACAAAACTAACTTTTTGAACAGATAGAAAGAATAAATAAACACTCACACACATACACACGGTAACATTGCGCGCTTGTCTCTGTCGCCGTAAACTGACATTGAAAAATGCTTCGTATATATAGAATATGCAATTGAACAACTTTCTGATCGTAATCATAAAACTTACAACAATTTACAATGCTTTTGTTCTTTATTGCTCACTGCAAAGAATGTTGATTTAACAAACATGGTCATCATATTGAGCAGAGCAACGGAATGGAACGCCATGGCAAAAGAAAATAGCAGCAAGTCGAAGACGACAATGATGTTTGCGATGAAAAACTAAAAACGAGGCATCACATTGCAACTCTTGCAACTCGAGTGACCTGTGTATTTATAAGTATTTATGTCATTTTCAATCTTATCCATTGCTTAACCATAGTGAGCTACAACTTTTGTTACTGATTACGTTGAACTCAACAGATTTATTGGTGCGTATAACTTTAGCGATAATATCGACTGTGTGGATATAAGTTTGCAATGGTTATTTAAGAAGCTGCAATTAAATGTGTTGAGAGTTTCTCTCGCATCGTCCATTTCGCTTCGCTTCTCTTTCAAGTTGAAAATAAAACCAATCACTATAAAACTTCTGTTTTCAAGAGCATTCCCAACCATGATGATCATTGAATCGAGAAAAAATTCAGTGCTTCAAATAGAATACGTATATCGTTTGTTGGCCGGTATCAATGCAATGCAACAGCCATTATCGCAGAGCATTCGTAAAGAAAGACAGCCCTCGAAATAGACAATATGCGATACTTAAACATCGATACAATATATATAAAAATTGATACTCTGATGTCATTATGTTCAAATAGCTTATGCAATTCGACACTTTTCATTTGTGAGAATCATTTAAACGCTTTGATTGCTCATCTCTTCGGTAGCGAGATGCTGGCTTACTGTGTGTTTATTTATTCTTGGAAATAGCATTTTGTCGGGCCTCTGGATGTGTCATTCTCTCGAATGACGACAGACTTCATCAAAATCAATGCTTTCGTGAGTATTTATTGGTGTTGTGCAAACAAATTGTTGAATTAATTCGAAATACGACAAACGACGACATTATCGATACAAGTGTTCGACGAACAGATCTATATAGCTGTGCCGCACCCTTCAACCAGTCAAAAAGTCATTTCATTTTTGTTGCAATCGAAATGAAGTGTAGAGGATTTGTTGAGCGTAAGCTTTTGTAAACATAAATTTAAACATTGTTCATTGTGAGTCAGAGATGGAAATTAAGAGTTTTTAATCTCACAAATATTACATATGGATTACATGGATATCCAATTAGTTTGACATGTCAACAAAAGTATTTAAACTCGAAATGTTTAGCAGAACGTATACACATCGTAAAAACGTCAAAAACGCAAAATGACAATTGCATATAGAAGTAACTGTTTTAGAGGACTAACAATTAGGCGGCCAGATTTTTAACAAAAAAATTCAAAATTATTGAAATTATTCTTCGTCGAAAATTGAAAAAAAAAAAAAAAAAAAAAAAATCAGTGGGAAAATACTTTTGCGTGTTCCGATTTTTCGTCCGGGTTTCACGTTGGAAATCCGGGCGAACTCGCATAAATCTGAACAACCGGACAGTCTTAGCCTAATTAAAACACATCGCTGAAAAACAGCATCGATGCGACAACAATCATATTGATGACAATTTTATAAAATTGAAAAGCCATCCAATACAGAAATGATTATATCATTCGGTCGGAATACACAATATAGATTGCTATCGCGACCACATTACATTTTACATCAACAACCAAAGAGATAATTAACCATTTGGGTGTGTTTAACGAACCATGTGGGGTTTTCCGCAAAAATGCAGAGATAATGACGAATTGAATAACATATTCGATGTTTTGTGTGCTACTGTGCGTACGCATGTTGCAATTCAGCAAAACGAATAGTTTCCTTTTTCAGTTAATAAATCAATTTACATAAAATGATATGAAATATTTGTCGATTGTGTATGCGAGTGTACATGTTCGAAATGTAAAATCGGTTCGGTTGGCGACACTTCTGCAAATGTTTTTCGGCAATGTATAATTTATAAAGTGCTTTAGCAGCATTCATATATCGATTTGCTGTTTGTTGCCATTTTTTTGTGCATAGAACAGCACGAGAACACATGTTTTCGCATGGCGAACGAAAAAAAGTGTATGTAACGTTATTATTTTTTGCTGTGTTATTTTTTCTTCTCTCGCGCTGAACACTCAATACATTTTTTCGTGTGAAGTTTTATTGCGTGTGTCTTACTGTTGTAAATTATGTGCGCACAGTATATTTCTAACACACCATTTTATTTCCAATCGATTTGCATAGCACAAGTGTTCTGACACGGCAAAGTGTTTTGTCATGTGCTTTGCCGAAAAAAATGCGATTTTTAGATAAAAAAAGCATGTATGCGTTGTGATATGGAATGCATGAAATTCGGCTCGTGTAGAAATTGTCTGTTATTATTATCTTTTGATACCAGTGTGAGAGACGAGTCAATGGCAAACAGAATGCGATTCAAATGGCATAGAATCGGTCTTTCGGAAGTGAATGTACGAATGAATTGAAATTCAATCCAACCGAAAAAAGAAACAATCGAAAACTTAAGCCACAAAAAAAACTGCACAACAAGATTTTTTTTTGATTCACAAATTGAAAAATGTAATAAAATCGAATGCGAAAAGAAGAAGAAAACAAATACGCGTGTGTTTTCACGATATACTGCTTCAATAAAGACATCATTGCAAAACACGCGACCGATTCAGGTTACCGAGCGTCGCTTTCGCCGAACAACCATTCAATTGTGGTTCATCAATGCAAAATTGGTGTATGTAGTTCTTGTCGCAAAACAAAACAACGCAAATGTGAACAAATTGTGCAGTCACATTATTACATATGCCGCTTCGCTTTTATTTCCATTGTTGAACACAATGTGCGCGACCGTACACGCTTTCGACATATTAATTGCATTTTATTCGCTTTATCTGCAGACATGTTTTCGGCCACATAACTTGATTAAATGTTTACACAATGCCATTCGTATCAATGATTGATGCGTACCGACACAGAAGCTCTCTATCTCCATGTGTGTGTGTGTGTGCGTTTGTAACACGCGCAAGCCTTTACTTCCAAAATTATGTCATTTTCTTGGGCGTTATCCAATTTCCATTGAAGCGTCAACAGTGTATACACTTTTTGCTACTTCACTCTTTGAATCACGAAAATGATGTGCACACACTTGAAATAGACCTCGAACCACCAAACAAAATATGGTTTAGGTACGATATTCAATTTGTTTTGGCCATTTGGTGTATGTATGCCGTACTTGAAAAATCGATTTCAACAAGCCACCAAACACTGAAAATAAACACAATTCATATCAACAATAAATAGCAGCGGAACGTTAATCAAGCCCATGAAACCAAAAACTAATGTCGACTTTATTTGTTCGCATGTCGCTCGAATCATAATATAATCTACAATCACAAACCATAATGATGAGCCGGATTAGTTTTTTTTGGCAAAAACCTTTTTTGTTTAGACACACATATTTATACGAATGACACATAATTCTGACATTTTCTGTCTCTACCGTAAAGAAACAAATATAGGACGTAGAACAACAAACAGGCTAACATTGGTGAAAAAATGGGGTGGATAAAAAGCATTACGATGCTTCATTGAATCACTTTTTTACGGCTCGAATAGATAATATTTAAATATATAAATTTATTTTAATCTGACAAAAAACACACGCAAATCTTATTCGCAAACAAGCTACGAGGTTATTTTTGAGCCACATATTTTTTGTGAAGCCTAATATTCAAATGACCCAAGCACAAAATTGTTTGGACTCTTTCTTATCGGTTTATTGACGCTATAATACTGTTTATTTGATATTCGTGACAAATTGTCATTATACCTGCACCGTTCCGACATTGTATTTCATCATAAATTTAGAACATAAGCAGCTTAAGGTTATCGATTTATCGATTTACAATTTACATATGATTGTTTTTTCGAGAAAAAAAAATTGGCTTAACATGGCCTCTGACTTTTTTGGGTTATGTAATTATCCGAATTATTAACCTAAACACTCATCAGTGATTTTGAGTCCATGCATTATTGATAGTAAACAGAATTTTTTATTAATATGAATTAAACTATCGAACAAATTATGAATATTTGGAAAGGTTTTGAAAGATCTATTTTTCTACTTTAGAAATGACTCAAACTCGTTGAAAAAGTGCAATATATGCAAAACAAAAAATGAACAAAGGCTTTTTAAATGAAAATGCTGCATTTTGACTGCGAGAGATGGAGAAAAGCTGAAACTAATTTCGCTCCAGTCAAGTCTTTTCTTTAATTTCCCAACTGATTTATTGTATGAAATATGAATGTGGTTCAGAGTGAATTAATTCAACTCCCAATAGAAATTATTTCGACAGACGAGTTTTTCGATCGAACTTTTTCGGGCAAATTCATAACGAACGGATGAAAATATATATATTAGAAATATCGAATACATTAATATTCGAATAGATATGCGTGCATGATCATCGCCCGAAATTCGTCCATTTGAAAAATATTGGGAATAGAGCTGTGGTTATTTTTGGTCATATTTGGTATGAAGATTGAATTTTAGCAGACTTTTTGTCTTTTTATATATTCATTTTATGCATCTAACTATCCATGGCAGTTTATGTATGTAAAAAAAACCTCTGTCGAGGTGAGTAACGTGTAACGAGGAAACCCAAATTTGAAGCTCAAAATTCTAGTCAAAGTTTCCGATAACAGTTTCGTGACGAAAAAAGTTGGTATGTAGATAATTTTTCTGTGTTTTGTGAATGAATACTTCCGCTATCCAGAGTTGGTAAATGCACCTCACGAGTGCGCGCCCTTATAAGTTGTGTGCAACTCTTCTTGGGTGCGCGCACCTGATTCCATATAAATGTTGGGTGCGCGCACTTGGAATTTTTTTCTTGCTTATTTCAATATAAAAAATCGTCAAAAATGTATTTTTTACTTAATTTTTTCCATTTTGAATTTTTTCACATGCAAAAACTGTTTACATGTAAAGCAATGTGGTTCAAAAGACAACCAGCAGGCGGCTACTTGTAGCTGTCAAAATATATAAGAAACACAATTTGACAGTATTTTGTATTGATATATTGAAGATGACCAAATAAAAAATGGAAAGATTTAAGTAAAAAATACATTTTTTTCAATTCTTTATATTGAAATAAGCACGAAAAAAATTCCAAGTGCGCGCACCCAACATTTATATGGAATCGGGTGCGCGCACCCAAGAAGAGTTGCACACAACTTGTAAGGGCGCGCACTTGTGAGGTGCATTTACCAACTCTGCCGCTATCTTATACCGATTCTATTTTTGTGCTTAGTTATCAAAATTAATATATAATTTTCATTTGAAAGTATAAAAATTGTGCCAAATCAATGATGTTGCTTGTCGCACGTATGCGCGATTATGTTTGTTTATTTATATCAATGCACGTGTCTTTCAGTGTTCCTAATTCAATTAAAATCACATAATGATGTACTTGCAGGTTTTATACTTTTATTTTTATTTAATATCAGACATTATATTGTGATATTTTCAGGCAGCTCAGGAAGCTAGCAGGTGCTGAAATTGGGTGAAAAATGGAAGTGATTGTTATGGTTATAAAAACACTTACTATAACAATCATTTCTATTGTTTACATTGCATTTCAGCGCCTGACTGACAGCTCCCGAGCTGCCTGAAGATATCTCAATATAATGTCTGTTCGATAGAACGTATTTTACAAATTTAGTATATAAATCTGGCGATTTTCTAATTACAATCAGTTCAATTTTGAATGTTTCAATTCTAATATTCTTAGAATTTTACTTTGGTAAAAAGTGAACGGTGGCAATCAAGTAACGAGTTCATAGTGATTTATTCATCGTCATTTAATTGTTTATTTAAAATGAATCTTTCAATCAATATGTTTAAATGTGATGTCGTGATGCTTTTGTTGGCCATAATCACATGCGTGTATTTTTATCTCAAGCGAATTTATTCATATTGGGATCGTATGGGATTCAAAACACTTCCGGGCACCGTTTATTTATTTGGCCACATAAAATCAAATTTTATGGGAAATGAAATGATGGCAATTATAGTGAAAAGATTATACAATAAAACCAGTGAACCTTTTATTGGATTTTATGCATTAATGCGTCCAATATTACTGATACGTGACCCTGAATTGATTCGAAATATTTTAGTCAAAGATTTTTCGTATTTCCCCGACCGTGGTGTATACGTTAACGAAAAATATGATCCATTGTCTGGTCATTTAGTGGCTATGGCTGGCGAAAAATGGAAAGGACTGCGTGCAAAACTCACGCCAACTTTCACGTCTGGAAAATTGAAAGGAATGTTTCCAACATTGGTGGCATGTGGATCAAATTTACAAAATTATCTGGAAAAAGTGGCGGAATCAAGTGAATTGCTTGATGTACAAGAAATTGCAGCCAGTCACGCTACAAATGTCATTGCATCAGTTAGTTTTGGCATCGATGTTGACGCAATTACTGATCCGAATACGGATTTTCGAAAATACGGTCGAAAAATGTTTGCTCCAAGTATCAAAAATTCACTTCGACTTATTTTGCTGACGTGTGCACCGAGGTTGATGAAATTTTTACATATCAAATGCGTTAGTTCAGATGTGGAAAATTTTGTTTTGTCGATTGTTAAGCAAAATTTGGAATATCGTGAAATGAATAATGTGACACGAAATGATTTCTTTCAATTGCTTATTCAATTACGAAACACGGGATCGGTGGAATCAGACGGGCATGACAGTACAATAAAATCGAATGGAAATCAAAAGACGTTCACCGTGAACGAAATGGCAGCCCAGTCTTACATTTTTTTTGCAGCTGGGTTTGAGACATCGTCAAGCACACTTGCATTCTGTTTATATGAATTGGCGAGAAATCCGGAGATTCAGAACCGTGTTTATGACGAAATTATCCGAGTGCTAGAAGATCATGGCGGAGAAATGACATACGATGCGATATCGGATATGGAATTTTTGGATCAGTGCATTGACGGTATGGTAATTTCTATCAAGAGTCGCTCATGAAAATATTTTTTTTTTTATTACAGAATCGCTCCGGTTATATCCGATTGGAGCATTTTTGCGTCGAAATTGTGCGAAAAATTATAAAATACCCGGAACAGATAAAACGCTCGAAAAAGGTGCCGAAATTTTTATTCCCGTGTTTGCATTGCAGCGAGACGAAAAATATTATAAAAATCCCATTGAATTCGATCCGGACCGATTCAACAAAGAGAATTCAGCGACGAAAAATCAAACAAAACGGCCATACTATTCGTTTGGCGATGGTCCGAGAAATTGTATTGGAGTCAGATTGGGCAAATTGCAAGTTAAGGTCGGACTAGTTATGATGCTGCAACGCTTCAGATATGAATTGCTACATGAGCAAGAAAGTACACGTGAAATGGAATTTGAACCGAGATCTTTTTTACTTTCGCCACGTGGAGGCATCAAATTATGCGTTTTTAAGCGCTGACTTTTTTATTGAAGAAAGATAAGATTTGTCTGAACAACATATTATTCTCTGAATGATGTAATTCTGCAATTGTAGCACTTTATAAAATTTAGCTCATTCACCCATATAAAATACATAGAAGTCCTTAAGACTTAAAAGACTAAGAAGAATAGGAACTGTATTTTTATTATTGTATTTTTAGAAGTTTAGGTAGAGAATATTTTTCGTAAATTTTAATCATTATTCATTTCTTTTATTGTAATGTTTTGCTGAAATTTTGTTTTGATAAAATTTATCTCTGTGAACAACATCGATTGTTTTTTATGCTTTGTTTTCAAAATTATAATTTTCATTTAAAAATTGTGCAAATTCAATGATGTAGCTTGCACTTGTTTGCGCTTATGTTTGTTTATTTATATCGATGCACGTATTCTACATTGAAATGTCCTGCAGTAAGTAGATTATGTCCACAGAAGCGCTATTTTTGCAGCTTCTATTCACAGGCGCTATTTATGTACAACACATATCAATTTTATGATGCAATTCCGAAAGAGATACGAATGAGCTCAGGATCACGTATTAATAATATTGAACGAAGTGTGCTGTAGATACCAATAAATGCTTCCTTTGTTAAATTATAGAGTCGCGTTACAAAACCGCCACAGCGTTCATTTTGCAAAATTGTTTCTAATAAGTGGCCAAGGAGATAATTTGATTCTGAAAACGTCTTATATCCTTTTCGATTCCGATGCACACGTCTGACGATTAATTATATATTGTTATAATCATGTACGTGTGAATTTAATGTCAATTCGTATTATTGACCAAATGTCACCAACCATTCAATCAATCAGTGTTTGCTGTATGACCTACAGTTATCAATAACAATAGGTTATCGTACATCAAAACACGCTAAATTTCACAGCAATTGAGGCGCCAGACTTCAATTCGATTTCTACACCGAAGAAACGGTATTTTACACACAATGTTCAATAAATACAACATTTCTTTCGATTTGCTACGGTTTTTTGATTGACGAAAGGACGTCCCCTTTTGACCGTGCCCATGAAGCATACATATAATAGATGATGATTTAACTTTTTTTCGCTAAATTAATAATCAAATATTTGAAAAATAAAATGTTTGGTCGTGTGCGGTTGTGTGATTAAAGAGATTTTTTATTACCAACAATAAAAAAAATAATAATAATATTTATTGACCGCCAAAACTGGCTGAATCAAATTTGACTTTATACATAATGATTTATACATGGTGAAGAAAAGATATAAGAGCAAAAATCCACCGTCAAAAACTAAGTGTCTTTGTTTAATCATAAATTTATTTGTGATTAAATAAATTTGTTTGGCAGGGGAAAGGTATGGATAGTCACCACCATTAAAACCTGCATTTTTTCTACAAATCTGTACATTTTTTTTTTTGGTTAATTCATCGCTCTGGTACATAGCGCGTCGTTAATATTTATTTAAAAATGTTAAAAATTATTTGAGAAAGCATGTAAGATAGTAACACCGTTGAATGTTACCACATAGCATTTGTCGTGTTTATCGTTTAAAAACTTTTAGATGAATTCCGTCAAGTGGAGCCATGAAGAAAAACTTTGGATCGAATTTCATGTCAGTGTTTTTGTGGTGATCGGACAATTCGAAGCGGAATTTTTGCAGCATCATAACAAGTCCAACTTTTGTTTGTAATAGCCCCAATTTAAGTCCTATGCAATTTCGGGGTCCGTCACCAAACGGAAGATATGGTCGATTAATCAAATTCTTTCCAACTGAATTTTCCTCATTGAATCGGTCCGGAATGAATTTGTCTGGTTCTGCGTAGTATTTTGCATCCATTCCGAGTCCAAGTACTGATATAAATACTTGCATGCCTTTTTTAATCACTTTATTTGTTCCAGGAATCCGATAGTCTTTTACACACGAACGAGGCAAGAGTGATAACGAAGGATACTTTCGTAGTGTCTCTGTGGTACATGCGAATATATGAATTATTTTCTTATGAAAAATAAAAGAAAAAAAAAGCGTTTATAAATTATTTACCGTCAATGCAAGTGTCCAAATATTTCAACTCAGCAAGTGTTTCGTAGGTCAATTGGCCAACGTGTTTCTGTACAGCCACATCAATTTCATCGTGAACACGGCATTGAATCTCCAAATTTTTTGCCAATTCATACAAACAAAACGATAATGTGGTTGAAGAGGTCTCAAATCCAGCGATAAAGAAAAGGAATGTCTGTGCTGAGATTTCGTCCAATGTAAATTTCTTTTGATTTTCATTCGCTTTGACCACATCCCATTTATCGTCCGATTCATTTACGCTGCCTGTATTTCGTAACTGAATTAGCAGTTGAAAAATATCTTTGCGGCTGACATTATGTTTTTCACGGTATTCGACATTTTGGGTGGCAACCGATCGTATAAATTTCTCCACACTTGGTTGTGCCGTTTTCATTCCAATCGTTTGCATTATGTTCGGCGAATTGAAAAATAAAAGCTGACGAATTACATTTATGAGATTTGAGCTGAAAATTTCACGGCCACACACACGAAATTCATTGTCTGGATTTTTGATGGCATCGATTTCTAGTCCAAATCCCACCGATGCTGTCACATTGGTCGTAAAACAACTAGAAATTTCTCGTGCATTCAATACTTTTCCATTGTCGACCAAATTATTTAGATGATTTTCCAATTCCGATCCACAATTGAGCAGAGTTGAAAACATCGCTTTCATTTTGCCAGATGTAAAGGCTGGTGTGAGCTTCGTTCGGAGATTTTTCCATTTTTTGCCAGGTAGAGCGAATAAATGGCCTGACAAGGGATCCTTTTCTTCATTGCAATAAACGCCACGGTCGGTGAAATGTTCGAAATCTTTGATTAAAATCATGCGAATCAGCTCGGGATCGCGTATCAACAATATTGGACGCAAAATACTGTAAATTCCAATGAATGGTTCACTCGTACTGTCATACAATCGCTTTACGAGGCTGCCGACAAATTCTTTACGAAATATTATCCCTTGAAAATGTCCAAAAATCAGATTCGATCCGGCCAATGTTTTAAAGCCATTTCTTTCCCAGTACGAATACGTTCGCTTGACCAAAAAATACACCAACGCAAATGCAACAATTAAAACAGTTAACACATCAATGGTCCAGTTACGCGTTAACAAAGCCATTTTTTGAACAAACAACACTGAACAATTTTTTTTTTCAATCGAAGAGTTTGCTTTATAGCCTCCGAAACACTTGAAATCATTTCATCTACTGCGCCAAAAGCCAGTCGTTCAGTTCATATTTAATATGCTATTTTTAATTTGTGACTTTACTACTTTGTATTCACTTTGATTAGTTTAAAACAGATGAATACAATATTGCATGTGATGCATGTTTGCAATCGATTGCATTTTTTTATTCAAGCTTCGTACGGACGTTAAGCAGTATAGAGGCACACTATACGCAGTACACAATCGCAGCACTTTCAGCGCTTATTTTTATGTACACAAACAAATTTACATTGAAATTTACAAATACACAACGTTATTAATTATCTAGTCTACTGGAAGAATATATTTTATAGCTATCTACACACAAATGACAACTAACCTCAATATGAACAAAAATTGACATACAACTCAACTTATCCGAAGTCTCAACTGTTTTTAGTATAAATTTTAGTTCAGATTTTTTCCGCTCAAATGCATACTAAAATTTATCCCAAAAAAATTGAGTTTTATGTCAATTTTTGTTCATATTGAGGTTAGTTGTCATTTTTGTGTATCTTTTTCTAATATTCTGTTATATTCTGTTATATACTTTGTATTAACTTCGTTCAAAATTAAATTATTTAGCTATTCAGTAGTTCTACCAATAAAATTGGTAATTTATATTGAATTTAAAGCAGTTGTTGTGATATTTGACGTCGTTGTTTAAGTAATAATTAGTAGTGTATGTGGGGGGAGGTATCGACTCCCTTTGGTGTTAAATTCATCCAAATTTTGGCGGTGTCAAATCAAATCAGATCTTGACGGTGTCAAATACGCAAAAAAATACTTCGTAGCAAGAAATGTCAAAAATATATTGTCAAAAATATATTAGATGGTATTTTAAGATATTTTCAGACAGCTGATGCTGCTCAGAAAGCAAACGTCAGTCGCTGAAACGGAGTGAGAACAATAGAGGTTATAGCGATAGCAGCAATGTAAGTGTTTTCATAACCATAAAAATCAAATCTATTGTTTTTACTCTGTTTCAGCTCCGTCCGGAAGCTACTGAGCTGTCTCAGCTGCCTGAACATATCTCAATATAATGTCTGATTCAGTAATGTGCGAAGGGGGGGGGGGGGTTTCCCCCCCCCCCCCCTGTGATTTGGATGGGACAAATTTTTTTCGTGAAAATTATTCGAATTTGCTAGGGTTTTTCACGAAAAAAGTGAAGACCTTTTTTTTTTTTTTTAGCTCATCAATGTAGAAAATTGAGGAGAATTATTTCAATTTGCTAAGGTTTTTGGTTCCGAGAGATTTTTTTCCGATTTGCTAGGGTTTTTCGCGGAGAAAATTCTTTCGATTTGCTAGGGATTTTCGCCTCAAAAAGTGAATTCCAAAAAAAAAAAAAAAAAAAAACCAAAATTTGTCTGATTCGCTAGAGAATTTTTGTTTTTGAAAAATCACCCCTCCCCCCCCCTGTAAAATGTAGCTCGCACATTACTGGTCTAATTATACTAAATTGAGATGTAAATATGATTCGTAATGCAGCTACGAATAAAGACTGTTTGTATCAGCTACCAACTTAACATATTCTATTTTTTAGGATTCCTGAGCCCAATCCACAGACGACATATTTTTCTTTTCGAAAAATTCGTGCCGGAAAATTATTTTCCTTGGAAGTTAGATTTTTTCATAAGAATTTTGTATGAGAGTATGTTGTTTGATAAAAATTGCTCTGTTTGTCCACCGGGGTCAGAAATATTTTTCCGATTCAATTCGTTTATACATTACTTCCAAGCAAATCGACCGTATATTGTTCTTGAGTGTAAGTTCAGCATACGCTTCGAGTCACTTGCGAAGTGATTCGTTTGCTATTGCGCACATTTCCGCTTGTGCATATGTGATGGAACGCTTTACTAAGAAAAGATACTGTTTATATAGTGTGCTTCACGAAATGTGCGTCGCACAATCCTATACGGAATGACTATATAATGCAAAAGAACGAAGCCATTCGTGATATGCACGAAGCCATTCGTGATTTTTTCAGTGATTTTTACGGTCAATAAGGTTATTTGAAATTTAAAGAGTTAAGCGTTTTTAATAACTGCAATACTCTAGTCAAGTTCAATATCAATACAGTATCTTTATGGGTTGCATTCAATGAATTTTGTCATTCGTTTTATACGATTGAATTAACATAATTTCTCCATTCATCGTCAAAAACACGCAAATCAATTCACAGTGGACTCACTGATTCACACTGAAACAGTAGTGAGTGAAAGAAAGGAAAATAGATATTCTGAAATATTCTAATTGAATATCTTTTTCAGAATGTATGCACTGCCATCAGTACATAAAAACCAAAGAAATCAATGAAAAAGTGGGTAAGTAATAATAATAACCAATTGACAAAAATATGTCAGTTCACATTGTGTTCCACAAAAAAAATCATCAGAATTTAACATACTTTTGACTTACCCAAACTTGTAATCGATATCACCATAGATTTATTCAACGCAAACGCATGTATTCATCGAAATTCATTAATTGAATAATGAAAATGAGGATTTAAACGGCTTAAAGTAGTCTCGATAAATTGCACTCAAGCATACAAGTTGTTCGTCTTTTCAGCGTATGATGTATGTATCCAAACTTATGAGATAAATGGCAAGCAATTTTAGGTCATATTTTCAATTTCGGATGATGTAAAAAGTCTATTCAGTGTGACGGCGACAGATTATCCCACTGTTGTTTTCCTTCAGTTTTCGAAGTCCCTGTAAAACAAAAGAATTTATATGAATCGTTTGTGTGTGTTTTCAACGTTTAAGGAACTTTTTCAACCTTCAAAAGGATGCTTAAGCCAAATGCAAGTTTATATCTACATGATCTTTGAGTGTAACTTTAAATGGGGACGAAATAAATGTTTGTTCACCAACTTCATATATCGAGTTTGTTTTTGTTACAATTGTCTAAACTTTATGTCATATGAATAAGAAACCTTTAACTGAATTAAGAAAAATCCGAACTTTTTAACTTTTTCGTGAAAAAAAAAAAAATGATTCAATAAAAGAATTCGTGAACTCAGCAAGAGCAACAAAAGTTCGATACTAAAAAAAATGAATTGAAGTCAAGTGTAGATGTTTGGTGTTTATTTAAATGTGCAACACATTGTCTGTGCTGGTGTGCAGCGCAATGCGATTAGATGGTTTTGTTTTTGCACACACACACCAAAAGAAATCATGGCATTTTTTTATGTGTTCTTCCTAATGGGAAACCCCATCGTGTGCAATATCGTTGCAGTGTTTTCGCATGGCAAAGCGATTTTTAGTTGCTGTTCGTTGTCAATTTTCGGAATGTGTTACATTGAAATTCCCAGAAATCTAGTTTCAATTGTGAGAAAAAGACTTCAATTGCAAAATGTATTCCGTTGATCGACTCAAATGTCATTTGGCGTTGGTTTTTTTTTCGTTGTTCTGCACGAAAATCGCTTACAAATCGACTAAAGTGAAATTGGACAACATTTTGAAAATGAATTTAAAGCCATTCAAATTAATGATTACGCAAATCAATCTGTGTCAAATTATATTGGAACAAATGTCTGACTGATTCTCGTGTGACGCATCGTACCGAGATTGTAGCACAAAAAATCGTTCGAATGTTTCACATTTCACAATAATGACAGTCATTGGATAAAAGTGTGTCAGACATGTTCGGGGGCACAATTGATGCAAGTTTAATCAAACGCTTATGAGCGCAAGCATCATATGAATCGAAAAAGAATGAGAGAAGAAGGCAGGCGCATCCAAAATGAAATTGAATTGATTGCCAAAGCCAATAAATGGCCCGAAAACAGTTGATTCATTTCATTATCAGTGTTTTAACACTCGGTTTGAGTGATGTATTTCCGTTCTGATTTAAGGAACTGTGTGTACACTTTTCTTTTCGCCTCAGGCCATGCGGTACGTATCAATTTTCGCAACACGTACAAACGTAATATGTCAGTGTGATGGTTTTGTCCATTTCTGCGCAGTTTTTGAGCGACATCACACCAACACCAACGACACTGCCATTGTCTATGGTACAGACGGTGAATTCGCAATATCCATGAAATGGAAAAGGTTTTCGAGATATATTTCTTATTCGTACATATAATATTCAAATTTCTTTTGCACATATGTTGATCCCGAGTGTTGAATTTCCCAGGCGAGCTGATTCTTTTTGATTATTCGATGAATCCCATTGCGAATGCTCAAATTCGCACTCGAGCAAGAAAAATTTCTTGTACTCTGCGAGGTGAACTCATGTGTGCGGACACATTTTCGTTGCGTATGTGGTTTTTTTTTCATTTTCTCTATTATTATTAAATACAATTATTAAAATGTGGTTTTAATTTTCTCAACAGGTGATTGAAGCAAACCCAACAATTTAACTAAATTGCGGGCTTACATGTAACCATGTCAGTAATAAATGCAACGATGGTGTTTTATTGAAATTTTATACACTTCGCTTTTCCAAATCCGAAAATGTAATCGAGTGAATTTGGTAGAATCGCCGAAACGAAAACGAAAACCATTGCAGAGATTTTCCATTTTCCCAACCACTTTCAATGCAAACACGATGCACTGAAGAGCAAGAGAGGGCAAGAAAGGAATTTCCATTCAATACCGAAATAAAATAGAAGATATTTGTTTTCCTTCCATGCTAGCTTTAGTTCCGGTCGTATTATTGTGGCAATTTTTTTTATTTTTATATTTTATTCAGAATCTTGTTCGTCGAGTTGCATTCTCGCTGTCGTTCTTCCGGTGCCAGTGTGTTATGCAATCATCATCGTTGGTATTTACATTGTATTCGTGTGTATAAGATTATCGCAAGTCAAGTAGAAAAGGGAATGGATAAGAAAATAATATTGTAAGTGCACAACAACAAAAATTATTTTATTGCATTCCGGTACATTGTTTGGGTTAGCGTTGTTGAGGAATATTTTTCCGTTTTGAAAAGGATTCCAACTCGTGAGAATGCATACAAATGACATCGACTACAATAAAAGTTTATATTTTTCTCTCTTTCTCCCTCCCCCTCTCTCTGTTTGACTATGATGCAGTAACTTGCAAACAACAGTGATGACAAGTTACAAAAATAAAAACAACCCAAGCCATAAAGGGTCCGAGATGCCTAGCAATAAATTTAGTAATTAAATTCGTTTATTCCTTGAGAGAATATTCTTCTTCTTTTTTCGCATTTTTGTTGCTATCACAACTCATTTTCATTTAGTTCAGGTAGCTGATTACGCACTATAATTTCACCAAAAGCTATAAAAAATCGTGACAAAGAAATGAAGCTAATTAAGGACGTTAACATCATGATATGAGATTGCACGTAATTCCGTGCTTGAATTGGATTTTTTCCGGTGACTGTCTGTTTGTTTCGCAGTCGTCATGGAAAAATGACAGTCGATAAAAAAAATCGAAACTGACATCAAACCATGTGTGCGTTTGTGTGCGTTTGTGTGAGTGTGTGTATGTTTTGTTGACGACGTTGTTATATTCCGCAACAATTTTATTACAATGATCCAATGTTATTGCGACAACAAATGGTAAAAAAAGCCTGTGAGAATGTTGCTGAAAGTGGCTTGAGTCATTCGCATCATACATGAAGTGTTTGTGCTTCGTCGTATTTGTAAGCGAGAGTGTCTTTAATGTAAAATTAAGTGCAAAAGATACTGAAAGTGGATGAAAATGACATAAAATGTGTTAGTACAAGCGATTCATGATGAGAAAGTCACTGGAAGTAAGCCATGAAACATTCCACAAAAGCATACAATGATTTTTAGATAGGATAGATGCGTAAGATCTCCGCAAGATCCAGATCCAAGCGTGCGTACGCTGCCGCATGATGCATACATATATAATACGCACGCAAATTCGTTATTCTTATTTCCCCTTCTTTGATTCGCATGCCATAGCATTACGGAGTAAGGAATGTATGTATCATGCGGCTACGTACGCACGCTTGGATTCGGATCTTGCGGAGATCTTACGGATCTATTCTATCCAAAAATCATTGTATGCACAAAAGATGATTTTCATTTCAATATTACGTCCTGTAAATTGACAGATTACGTTTTCAATGGAATCTTCTTACACATTTTTGCAACAACACCAACAATCATCGATTTCCAGCTTCAGACACTTTTTCTTTTTCATAAAAAATGCTTTAGAATGTTAAAAATCTTTATAATATAAGGAAAAATATCTTAAATGAGAACATTTTTTTATGAATTTAATAATAATAAAGAATGTGATGCATTGAATGAAGTCATGTTTACTTCTATATATTAGTTAAACTGAATGCTGACGTTGGTTGCTGTTTTATTATTTATTTGGCCTTTATTTTGTCGTGATTAGATGAAATGACAAGTGAAGTCGCACAACGACCGCATTGACAACGAGCCATCCCATTTATTCACGATTAAATTGTGATGAATGCAAACGGTGCGCAGCTTGATTAATGCTCATTTTCCTTCCTCTTCGTTGCACGAACGATGTTGAATGAGATTGCGATGAACTAACAAAAAAAAATACGACAACAATAAAAGTAAAACTCGAAGAGTGAATATTGCCAAGGTCGATCGTACACTTCTTCATTTCGCCATCACCGGGTAGATGCTCTTTCAATGATGATGATGTTTACGAATTAGTTTCATGAACATTGTACACATAAAATGAATTGTATGCGTGTGTCTTCTTCATTCATCGCACGCTAATATGGCTTTGACTTCTCTTTTTTCTTTTCGTACAACCGAAAATTTTAAGCACGTCACACAGTCTTCGACATTTTAATGAGTTGTTTTGACTTTGACACGACGCAATTAAATAACACGGACTAAGCCGATAAAAATATTACACCTGTTTTGTTTATGTTGAACAATACAATGCCAAAACGAAAAGATCAACGAAAATTCAACATAAATCATAATAGGCATTGTGTTTCTGTGTGTCAATTATAATTATTGCATACAACTGTTTATTTAACGTTTATTCAATTTAAAATTAACAATCACAAATGAAAAATCCTTGACTCTGTCGTTCATGCAAAGTGACTCAATGATAATTATGCAATTTGCTATGGATTAAGTATGGAACTATTGAACAATCACAAATTCTTATGGATCGATATCATACATGGGCACGGATAAAAATTAGGAGGGACTACATCCATCAATAAAAAAACCCTAGCAAATCGAAAGAATTTTTATCATCAACAAATTTTCGTTCTACTCGGATCAAAATTGATTTTGGGGAGAGGCGAGAATTTCTTGGGGTTTATACGGACCCAATGAATAAAAGAACATGGTAAAGAACGTCTCTTTTATCGTTTGCGATTGCGATCGAACGTCAAATACGATTAGCAATCAAGATGATGGCGTTTTTATATATATTTATAACTTTTATTACTGTCAATAATCATCAATTAATACCAATCACTTGCGTCGAAGGTGCTTATGCGCATTACCGGATCTCTGTTTCACTCCGGCCAGTTCATGGCCGAAACCGAAGAACCATAACATAAACGATTTGTAATCCAATGAGATCGAATCTTATGCGCATTAAATCACAAAATCACATTATAGGCTCTCATTCATTAAAAATGAATGGAACATCAATGTTTTTTCTCTTTTTTCTACCACTCTGGGATTGTATTGAATAAAAACAAGATAATTTGGTAGACCGTTCACCAAATGGACATCTAATGGACAGCTTATTCATGTTTAAAA